TTGACCGTACAATTGACCCAACGTAATTGCTTTGGGATTCATCACGAAAGTCTCTACTTTACGTTCGTCCATTAAATTCTGAAATTTATATATATAAAGTATAAATCCAATTTTGGACTCGTAACAAGTAAAGGACTTACCCTCTCCTCGCAAAGAGTTAATGCACTAGCTAAAATCTTATATGCCGCTGTTTTTGCAGCGAATGGAAAGCCGACAATCATAAATCCGTGACGAACGATCATCATCTCGAAAATTTGATGTATCTTTTCTAAAAACCATGGTGTACATTGCAAATTGGACATTGTACAAGCGTCGAAGATGCACGAATTCAAATCAGTATAATCTGCCTCTGGAAGTATCACACCAGGAAATAGATCGGATGTGATACCCTAAATCGAATGAATTAAGAACGGGATCAGGAAAACAGGTAAAGAAAGAAATTTTGAATTAAACAATAAACTGATATATATACGTTGAATAATGGCAAGTCTTCGCTAAGAAACTTGGGTAAATTGACGTCTTTGATACTGCGCAGTATTAAAATATTCTCATCCACATCCGGATATTTTATTTTTAAATTACCAGCAGCTATCAGAACGGATTTCACCGCCCTCATTCCATAATCGTAATGATTTTGACTGGACAATTGTTCCGAGCATAACGTGTAAGCTGTTACGATCTTTACTGAGAGTGGTCGTGCCTCGTAAAATCCGTACGAATATAACGTATTTTCCGCGATTAAAGCATAATCTGGCACCTGGAGAACAAAGAAGGATTAATTTCTTCTTGCTAAAAAAATTTCAATAAGAAGTTTGAGAACAATTATCAATCTGTACCATCATTGCAACTGGTCGAAATAGCGCTTTCAAGTTGTCAGGAAGCTCGGTTCTTCCAGCATAACCGGGATTCATCGTAATAAAAACAGCACAGGTGGGATCTAACGAGATCTCTGTACCTTCAAAAATTATTGAATCGTGTTTAGCATTAATGGCTCGTTGAATCGTTAAAATTTGCTGTGCCACCACCGACAATACTTCCAAATCGATCCGATTAAATTCGTCGAAACAAGACCATGCTCCGGTACTTGCCAATCCCTATAATACATATTACATCATTCATGTTGTCATATAGTAAGCATAATAATATCATAATTGTGAAATAAATTTGATCGAGATGAGATATATACATATTATAATAATATTCATGTTATAATAATACAAGTATAATAATCATCAGAATTGTAAAATAAATTTGAATAAAGATAGCAAATTATAAGAATATTGAATACAACGTGTGAAAGGTAATATTGTGAAGTAATTTACCTTAAAAAATTTACCCAAAGCTATGTAATCCAAACCCTCGGAACAATTAAATACGACACACTGCTTGGCTACAGCCTTAGCTAAATCCTTAGTAGTCTCTGTCTTTCCAGTTCCAGCTGGGCCTTCGGGCGCACCGCCAAGATTCAAGCTTAGAGCGCTGAATAAAGTTCGATAGCATCTGTCGGTCAACGGTGTTATGACTAACCTAGATGTGTTGCCCAGATACTCGTACGCGTATTTTAAAGACGTATTTATCATCGTTGACCATAAATTATCTTCCTAAAAGGCAACGTAATAAGAATAATAATATTTACGGTCGATCATGATGACCATTGTTTATATATTTTTTTTATTTTTTATCTTTATATCTACTTACTATCCAATAGTATCTTAGTTGAGCCAACCATTGGAAATTCGTCGGTTGAGAAATTTGTTTCTCGTACAATGCAGTTACAACGTCTCGGCTATGGACGTCCATTGTAACCAATGCCTCTGTTACATTTTATGGACAAGTTACATTACATTATATAAGTATGATTTAACAATTTTGCATTACTTTTTACATACGATATATTATTCATATATTATTACCCAATGTTACACGGTTCTGTTTTGTTAATTTACCGCGTACTAATTTTACTATTTCGTTCAATTCGTGTGTACAAAAGTCGATGTAATCTTTCACAGCTTGTAAAGATTGTAATAGCGCAGCTGTCACTTCGGTTGTCCAATAAAGTTTACTGATACAGAGAATAGTCTGACCGGGCCAATGTAAAGCCCATTGCGTCCTAACCTCTATTAAATACGCATCCTTTGCTCGAATTACCTGTTAAAAATATATTTATACATTTGTATGCTGTATACATATGTTAAAAAATAATCTTATTTCTTTTCTGTGAGAAAAATTGAAAATTATATATAATATGTTTCTCTTCTCGATTATTACTCTTTAAATTTTCGATTGAATCGTTATTGTTGCGATTCGTATCTTTGTACCTGCGCTTTAACGCTCTTCTTCATAGCAAATTCAAGTTCAAGTAACCATTTTTCAACTTGGCCTCGAGCAGCCATTGTATCAATAGTGACTTCAAGAATAATTTCCTCTCCTTCAGAGGATCTCATAGCTGTTATTATAAAATCATACTCGGTGAACTGTACTTCTGCAATTCCTTCGAAGCATTTCTTTAAATGCGGTTGCACTCTGTTGCAATAAACAAGAAAGATAGGTATTAAAAAGAACAATCTAATGCTACGTTAAAATTGGTATACCTGGTGGGATCTTTCGTTTCCGATAATATCTCCAAGAGTTCATCATTCGACAAGAAAAAGAATCGTGGAAAGTACAATCTTTTTTTTTCCAAGTAGGCGGTAAGTCCTTTCTGTATTAAATCTAGCAAGTTTGTACATTTCTTAAATTTTTCCAGCATTTTTTCGATTTTAATGACTGACAAAACTCGAGGATCTTGCACTACAATTGACATAATTTCCCTCCAAATCTATACGAACAAACAGTTAATTCTCTTTCTCTTTCTTTCGTCTCGTGTAAGAATTAAAAAAATAAAAGAATTCACACGATCAATAGTATTGAAAATAAAATATCGTCAATACAAATTTTACAATAATATTTTCAATCCAATCCAAGAATTATACACGATCAATACTTATTATCGGTATTATTATTGATCGCGTGCAAATTCTCAAAAAGTAAAGAATAAATAATAATATATACTTTGTCCACAGCGCTGAAACGTCGGCTTTCCTCTGGCATTTGCTTTTGAATATCGGGCGATGTATATATCGGTTCCAGATACATCCACGTTGATTGTACTACTAACCAATAATCCATGATGCTTTGTAACAATAACAGTTTGGCCTCCCATTCTCTAAATGACAAAGGATTGGAGCGCGCATTGAATCGTCGCTAATTGAGAAAAAGAGAAAAAGAAGGGGGAAAAAAGAACTATACTAACAGTGTCTCTTTTTCGAACGGTTTGATATAAAGAGAATTCTTCATCGTTTGAGTCTTGATCAAGTGATCGTCCAAGAGTATTTGTATATCGTCTACGCTGGCGATTACATAGGTGCCGGTATCGCGATAAGGATTAACAGTGAATGAGATCTCTTCCCAATCATGAAGCATCCGTTCCAATGCTTTTTCCAATGTGCCTTCCTTCGTGGCTGCTTCCGCTATTGCTTCGAATTTCGCGACGTAGTCCATCAAGTTGAAATCGAGAATCTACAAAATCATTATCATACGGATAAAATTATATTACTCGTTTAGAAAAAGGGTTAATTTACCTTGGCAAGTGTCATCGTCTCATCGATCTTTATAGGAAAGCCGACAATTTCCGACACCTGTTCCCAGTGACGGCTCTTCATAGAGGTATTTCCAAGAGTGAATATAATAGGCATGTACTCTTTGAATTCCTCTATCTTTAACCGCACGGTTTCAGCGAGACTTTTCGCTATCGGTTCTTGTATAATCTTTTCCAATCTGTAGATTGTACGAAAAGCGGTTCCTGTTTCCATGTCGATCTCATCCGGCTCGTAAGAACCTATCACCGAATTCATCCATTTTTCGTAGTTGTTTAAAAAGTCGCAAGATATATCGTACAATCTTTTAAATGGCATCAATTTGTCGGCTGTCTAACGAACAAGTTCAAAAATGGATTCAATCGTCGCATTCAGAACGATTATTTTGTTGGGCAAAAATTTTTTTTCGAAAAAAAAAAAAATTTTCGCTAATTCTAAATAAGTAGAATCGATCGAATCGTCCAACTTACTGCTTTCCGCAAAGGATATTGGGACAATTCCCAACCGAACAGTTCCTCTTCCTCGTTAAATTCATCGATCGTATCCATCGCCATGATCAATTTGTTTTCCAAATATATAGCTTTGTCCCTGTATCGAAATATCTCGTCTATGTTGCCCCAATACTGTAACTCGTTGCAATATTTCGCGTACAGCTCGAGATCCCGAGTAAACTGCTCGATTTTCCTCTTAAGAGTATTTTGAAATTCTCCAATTTTGCTCGCTACTATCGTTTTGTGCTTCTCGAAAATATTCGGCAGCTTGTCGAACCTTGTATCGCGATAAAAATAGAAAAATTCATTCGAATTCTCGTTTTTATAATCGTTATTATCATTTTCTTCTTTACCGTCCCCCCACCTACTTACCATTGAAAAGCGAAATTATTAAGTTTAAGCTCGACAGCGCTTAAGAGGGAGTAATCCGACAGCATAACGATATATTTAATAATTTCTCTTAATCGAGTTTCCAACTCGAAAATAGTTTCTGTCTCCGTGGTGTGTATGAATTTTCGCAGCTCCACCAATTCCTTCGTGTTCGCTGGAACGGTTAACGCACGGTCCACGATTCGTTGATATTCATTTCCCACTCTGTGTACATTAAAATCGATTATTTATTCGATAATAATTTGAATTTTGTTCGAGCACAGAGAGAGAGAGAGAGAGAGAGAGAGAGAGAGAGAGAGAGAGAGAGAGAGAGAGAGAGAGAGAGAGAGAGAGAGAGAGAGAGAGAGAGAGAGAGAGAGAGAGAG